CCTTGTTGGTCCCTCCCCTGGTTGGTCCCTCACCTGGTTGGTCCCTCACTTGGCTGCCCAGTCGCTCACTCTTGGTGAGCTTCCTTTCCAAGCTGACAATTCAGCTTGTTTAATGGTTTGGTGGTTTTGCACAGGACTTGGTCTCAGGCTGGTTGTCTCGATGTGTTTAAGGAACTTTGCCGCTCGTAGTCTCTTAATAGCTGTTAGTCCCTTGTTGAGGACAGGATGCCTGCAGCGGGTGTAGAACTTGGCTTCTCCCCATCTCAGGTGATGCTTGCTGATCAAAGCTGCTCCGATGGCCCACAGTGGGCATGTTGGTGACTCCACGTTCCCCACACGTGTAGATTTGGTGGTTGAGAAAAACGGAATCTTAGAAGTTACCTGATCACAGGAGCATGTCACACAGGTATCACTCTTTCTGACTTTACTGAGCTCAGTACTGATGCTCGTGGGTAACTGGGATCTGGGTGTAAACGCGCTCCGATTCCTCAGGGTTTCCCAATCGAGTCATCAGTGCAGCGACATGAGAGAAGCAAAGCAAAACTCAACACTAAACTAAATCTCTTCCTGCTGAGCCAAAGCACACAGAAGAGCTTGAAAAAGACACAAACTGATCAATCATCAGGTCAACCAAGCAAAAACCCAGATGTTACTGAGCTCATTATCTCTACACAAAACAGTGTGAAGACTTTTTTTTGAATGTGTTATTACAGTTATAGAAAATGCATACATTTACACTCCGTTCCACATCATTATGCATGCGACATTTCAATTAGTTTTTGCTTGTGTTATTCCCACATCTTCTGAGATAACTGCTGTCAGCGTCAGATGGGGTTTTAATTAGTTTGTCAGGTCCTGTTAATTATAGAGAAACCTCCTTAAAGAGGTCGTTCAGCTTTATTAAGAGAATCACAGTTTTCGGGCAGCGTGTGGAGAGAGCGATCTGTCTGAAGTTAAAATGAGGCGAATAGTGCAATGTCTGGCAAGAGACATGAAAAGCCGAGGTCATCAAACTGTGAATGGAGTTAGTCACGGCACAGATGAATAAAAGTCTTTTAAAGAAAGTTTCTGTGTGAGAAATTCAAACAGATATATTCTGTTCATGTCTGGCTCAACATTTGGGTTCATGGACTTTGCTTTGCATGATTCACAGTTCAAAGTAATCCTTCTTTATCTGATGCTGGCCTCAGTGCAGCCCCTCAGTTCATCCTCTGTCTGGTATAATTCGGTTTAGCTCCTCCCCCTTTATAGTCATCCTATCTTTATGCCAATTTTGTTTGGCTGCCCCTCACACACTAAAAATGAGGTGGGTGGGGCTTCAGTCCAAAGCCTCTGGCTCCTCCCACCTGAGCACTGACCGTCACACCTCCCGCCACACAGTTGAAACTGCTGTGAGCCTGTGCATCAGTGCAACCACATGACTGGCTCATAGGTTTCTGGTCTGGCTGTCGATTGGCTCATCAGCACCATCCATGCAGTTACAGATCGCCCTTGTTGTTCACCTGCAGCTTGCTGTATGTACGGTGCATGCATCATAACACATCTGTGATGTTTTGTTTGAGTGCACAGCTGATGCAACATCAGACATGTTTTACATAACCGAAGCGCAGCACGGCTCTGCATCGTGATTAACGTCACCTAAAAACGATGCTGGACAGAGTGAGAGTGTTTCAGAAGTGAATCCTTTCATCTCCCCCACATGAGATGCCAACATACCTGAAGCCTCTCGTGTCTTTATTTGCAGTCCCTGAGTGTATTCTAGTGTGTTTGATCATACTTTTACGAGGTGACACAGAGGTGTCTTTTAATCCTTTGATTAATTCTGTTGCTTCTTTCGCTGTCTGAAGCTCCGTCTCTCTCGGCAGGTGGGAGGTGACGGCGTGGACGGGCTGCTCGGCGTCCTGCGGTGTCGGCATACAAACCAGGAGCGTGTTTTGCATGCGTCTTTTGTCCGTCGACCAACAAGATATTCAGACTATTTCAGAGGACGCGTGCACGGATTTCCGACCTGCCATCCTGCA